ATTATTTGTGGGTGAAAGAGAATGATAACAACTGATAAGTGCTTTCAAGGCGCCTTAGAACGCAAAAGTCGCCGATCCGTTGCGCAGTCCACGTTGATACTAGGGTGTTCTTACTCACGTGTTGTATGGTGTGGGACGTGAACATTGTGCCGATATAACCAGTTTAGCGAGCAGATCCTTGGTGAATGATACATTTCATTCAAAAAGACCAAAACTCATTGAACCGCTTCACCTTAGGATTTTCGGATAATGTGAATGAAGGATAAGCATTAGATAACATGCTCTCTTATTGTGAGTAAGCATGTTTCATTTCTATTTTGAGGTTAACGGCATAACCCTTTTCACCGCTAAATTATCAGAATTCAAGAGAAATGCTGCGTGTTTACAGGGTTGTTTTACCAGATCAGCTTCGCACTTAATCACAGGCGCATCTATGATGGACTTCAATGAAGCTGGAGAGCCTGCAAAACCTTGGGTCATTCGAATAACATATCCAATAATGAGGTGCTTTGTGGAGTAAGTTAGCTGATGTTCCACGGGCCCTCCATTTTCGTTGAGGTCTATCGTGTGATGCGCGCGAAAGCGGGCGAAGCAAAACTGGTGCACTGTTACCTCATTTCAGACCACCTGATTCACCTAATGATTTTTTGGTGAGTCAAGGTGAAACATAGCTTCGGTAGTGTGGGATATTGCCAATCGATCCAAAAGGATTTTGTTAGAGTGCGAGTTTGATTTCGTGTAAGGCAGATTTGCCCCATAACTCGCCATCCTCGTCAGCAGTTCGTAATTCGATGTGAACATCGGATGGTGCGATTTCACGAGGACATCAACTGTTTGATAAGATCTTGAGTAAATGGTCAATCCGTGATGATTTGTGAAGGAAGATGGACACCATGCCACCATCAAACCATTCAGCTGTCAAGCTCTGAATATTTCCTGGTTCTTGAAGGTCTACAATAGCCCTTTGCTCGAAATATTTCCTTACCAGTTTTGCTCCGCCCGCTATCGCGCGCCTCACAGGGCATGACATACTCCATTAACCACCTCACTATTGAATGTGTTATACCTCCTTATACCCCTTCTCTCCGGCGCATGGCAGCACCATGTTCCCTCCCTTTCTCCTCTCCCCCTTCCCTTCCCTCTCCCCTCTTTCCCCCTCCCCTCTACCGCCCGCCGACTCCGGCTGCCCCGGCAGCACCATGTAGAATGAGGCTGAGTGTGCTCGTTCGGTGTTTTTGTAGCCATTGTGGGTGTTATCACAATCACCACATCAGGTTAGAATAATACGTCAACATGAATATAGGACCTTAACTGGTTGGAAAGACGATCTATCCCTGTTCAGGTCTTCCCCACCTTCCCCCGTCGTTACAAGGAGATCCTCTCGGTCGCTGGGGAGCGCCTGTTCTCACTCCTATTTCTTTCCTCCTCTGCTTCCTCCCACTTCTCACCTTTCTTCACTCCCTATTCCCTTCATGACCTCCCGGCGTTACTGCCCCGGCCTTCCCCCGGCGTGGTCACTGCTAGCAACAATGTAGGAGACTGCAGTGTGGCTCGACGGTGTTATATGGGCCGCTGTGGATGATTATCATGATATCGTGATCAACATCACGGAGTGTAGTCCTTCCAACTACCCGGTTCTGTTAGCGATTGGTCCGGACGGACAGAACGACACACGCACACACACACACCGACAAACCGACACACCAAAGTTGTGTTTATATAATGAAGTGATAAAAGTCTACCCCATCTACAAATCTACAACGGCTACTAAGCGAGATGCTGCATGCGATTCTTGTCCAAAGTGATGAGATTCTGTCGTCTAAGTTCTCGCTCAAAGCCGCCAAAACTGGTACATTTTTCGACTACCTTTCGACAACAACCGCCATCCTGTAGCTGGTAAAATCTAGCAGAAAGAGGAGAAAAACCTCTTCGGAACCAATCTTCACAAGGTATCATCACCTATGACGGCGTCGATGACGTATATTTTTTACAAAGAAGGTCTTTCAGGCTCTGACCCGCTTTTGGAAAAGCGGTCGCTGCATGATATAGGGGCCATGCATTGTACACAGAACCATCATTCATTTCACCTGAGCTATCCCCTAAATCCCAAAAGCTGAATTCAAAGAGCACCACAGCTACACCTTTTTGACACCAGTTTTTGGAGAAGACTCGCTCATATGTGCTGTTGACAGTATTAGGGCGTCAACCACTAGCCGTGGGTACTATTTAAGACCTCTTGCCAGCGGTATATACGCAAAACTATGTTACCACGTGAGGGAAATGAACCAGAAACCGAAATTTTAGAGGCGCTTAAGCGTTCAAAAGATCGCTTAGGGTGGAAAAATAAAGCGAGGCATTCCCTGGAAGATCATGCTTTAGTTTGCCTTTTGTGATTTGAAGCAGGATTCCACGATAAGAACGAAGGTCGAAGAATGGGAAACCTACCTGGTGGGGAGTCTCCAAAAAAGATCGCAAAAAAACGCGTCAGAAGATATACCCTCGGCGATCGGCTTTCTCTTTGGCGCGGTGGGCCTTTGAGGCCCACTGAAATAGCAGAGGGCACGATGAGAGTCGCATCAATGCGGAAATCAACGGGCAAGGAAGGGGTCCCATTTCTCGGGTTTGGGCTGTTTCACATGGTTTCTTCTTCATCCCTGCTTCACACCACCTCTACCCTTATTTCCAATAAGCTACCTTTTCATCGAAATCTGCCTTCAAAATGTTATTGCGTGGATCGCTTCGTTTGCGACTACTGGATACGAAGAAGGCGATCATTGCCGAAACGCCGGCCGAATAAATCATCAGTTTTGGAAGGTTTCAAGAAATATAACAAAATAAAGCAAAATATAACGAAATGAAATTGCAGGAAATATTCAACACTTCTGTCATTATAATAAGGTTGCTAGATCATTTATTCCGGCAAAACATAATTAAATATTATGAATAAATTTATTTTCTGGCCCTTGCAATATAAAGATGGTGGACGAATTCTGCGACGTTTCTGAACTTCCACGCAGATATCATGAGATAACTAGGCGGACTATTGTCTGTTGCATATCCACAACACGATAACATCTACGATACCCTTCGATATAGGGTTGAGCCCGAAGGGAGGGAATTAACACACTCACAGAAATATCCCTACCGTCTCACTGCATCTATGCCTTGGCAAAGACCTCCAGTATTTTTAGTTTTATTATTCGCCATCATACTCGCTACATATATTTCGCATCGAATCTTCCGTAACCCTACCGACGAGTCAACGACCACGAGACCTACTCAATATGGTTTGCTATCATATTTTTCGTTTTTAAGGTAGCATAGAAAATGCAAAACTATGGAATGTGGAAATCCCTGCTTTGAGTAAATTGAAGGCAGAACCCAGAAATACCACGATATTTTATAAATCCCAACCCCGGTATGTCGGTCGGTAGGAATGTGTGTTTCTTGGCGCAAAATGCTTGGGGAATGGTGAAGGAAGATATAAGAAAAACCCACTGACAACAAAATTGAGGAGTTCGCAGGTCTTGCGGTAGCAGATGGGGGCGTGGGGGGGAGTAGCAGATGGGGAACAAGGCATTTGGGGAAAATTAAGTGCCAGTTACCCCAGGTTTGAAATTCGGGTAGTGGTGAGATGTCATTTTGAAGTGATTCCCTAATTGCGATGAGAAAGTGGCTCCAATATAATCGATGCCATTATCATGTTTGCGGTAGTTACTCTATTTAAGAAAGCACCTGTTGTGTTATGCGTGCAGTCTGGGCCCGTGAGCGGGTGGTGGGAGCTAGGATATTGTCCCTTATTTGCCTCGGTGCAAGTGGCAATCGCCTATAAGAATTCCTGACTCGCGCTCTCTGTTAAAAAAGTAGACTAGCCAGTAGATGAGCAAGTGGCTTGCTGCCTTACAGTTTCCATTGCAGCTTTAGAGCGTGTGAGTCACTCGGCGTTAATCAATTTCGTCTTGGGACCAGGGTGTGTGGTTCTGTAAGTGGTATGTTGGTGTTTATATTGATGGCCGATGTGGCGGGTCCGATAGGCAGTGCGGAGTGCAATTGTGCGGGCGCGTGTGGGTGGTGCTGCGAAAGTCGGGCGCTGGGACTAGGTCGTGATCGCGAGGGATGTTGGGATATCATGAGTTGGGGGCTAAGGTTACAGGGTTTATATCCGGGGATTTGACGCGGTATAACGATGCGCTTGGAGGGTCCGCGAGTCGCTTGAGCGATGATTCGCTTCTGAAATGGTCCTTAAGATTTCTTGTATGGGAGTAAGGTCTTACTAACCCAAAATCAATACTCTTCGATGGTTGAAATAATAATTCCCATAGTGAATGTTCCTAAGATGTGAAATGAGAATACGCATATCTTTCAGATCCAAACACACCACCCATTAACAATGAAGTGGAGCAAGAGCAACAGCTTTGTTTCAAATGGCCAATTTACCGCATTTGGTCAGCAACCTATCGTCTCTCAAGCGTTTATCTGGTGAGCATGAATATGAATAGCACAGCCATTTTTGAATAATGCTGGATTTTAATCTCAGCTTCTTCGAGAACCCTCAAATACACATCTGAATCTGTTACTGAGTCGGTGACTACCTAGAGCGTGCTCAAATCAAGATATAGGTCATTTAGTGGTTTCCACTGCGGATAAAAGTTTAAATGTACTTCTCATTTACAGAATTCTATCAAAAGGCTGTTTTGTTCACACATTTCGATTTACACAAGAGTCGCGTGAATTGCTTCATAAGTGATAAAGACCGCCAATGTTGGGGTACTTCGTTCGGTAAAGTGGGAGTCGAATTGAGTACATTTGGTCATTCTTGTTCTTGTTCTACTATTGCGATCTGTAGCGAAAATCAACATCTGAAAAAGCAAACTAAATCGAGCATTGTTTTCCTTTTGTTGGCCTGTACAACCACTGGCGCTCAGAAGCAGTGATCAGTGAGATATGGCTGGAGAGCGGTGCGCTTTTGATTGCGCTATTGGAAAGCTCTGGTAGACGAGATTCTTGGACAGAGCGCTGGGAGGTGTGGTTGGGTGCCTCTTAGCGCCCTTTCACTATGACGCTCTGTCGATGACGTTCTGAAGACCGCACCGCTCCCCAACCGTCGTGATCAACGCCTTGAAGGTCTGCTTTCCATTGGGATAAAATAAATTTTTTTATCCCTTGGAGAGAATTGATTTGAGCGTACAACCATGAGCAGTCTTACTCAATGGAGTTTGCAGGTAGCTCCAATGTATCGCTTGGCCACATGCCAAATCGAGAAGAACATGGCGACAATTCGTGATGCTACATTTTGTTTCTTGACAAACCACACTGAGTTTGTTGCACACAAGCGCAGGATCAGTACCCAGTTCTGGAGTAACAAGTACGTCCATAGTCCTGAAGTGAAACTGAGAGAACTTCAGTAGTTACTGTTATTCCAGCGTTACTAAGCGACTTCACGATAAAGACAACTTTGAGTATTCTGAAGTGGTGTTTCATTCCAGATTCTGTACTGACACTTTCGACCGTCATTCCCTAGACGAGGCAAAAGAGACAAATGGTGAAAACATGACTCTATTCGCAGTTGTTCGTCACCCCATCGACCGTTTTCTGAGTGGCTACGTAGACAAATGTCACAAGTGAGTAAAATTATTTGAGGACGTCGTCCACGAGCACTTTGGGCTTTCTCTACATGAAAACGGGTTAACTGTGGAGCAGGAAGATCATGCGAGAATTTGGGCGTGTGCAAACGTTGTTTTTTTTACAAATATCACACATTTCAAGGAAAGGTGACTACAACTTTTTCCAGTTCGCATTGTAAATAATGTGGAACTGAACTGCCCGCAACTCTATTAGATTACCACCAACCTCTGCCCTTCACCCGGCCGTCCATGCTCCCACTGCCGCTTTGTGGCAGGGACGCGTACACGTTGGCCATGCTCGACTATCCTGTAAACTCGTTCCCTCTTGGATCAACGGTAGGACTAGGACACTTGCTACATCACCCTTCTTGCTTGACTGATAACCTGCATAGAATCCTCCCCAGGAAGCTTGTTTGATCGATAACCTCTTTTGAGTCCTTCCCTCAAAGCTTGACGGGAACCCCTCACCTCCTTTCCACGTGAACGCTATTGGAAAGTGATTGTGTTCCTGCGCCAATCGAGGCAGGGAAGGCGCTCGAGAGTACGACATAAGGTGGCTCACCAGCTTCTTGAACAAGGTAACAGTAGAAGGAAAGATGCCGGCAGCGGACCCTGAGACTGCGCGGGACTAACGCTAGAGAGAAAGAGGAAGATTATGTTCCTTTTCGATAATTTTTGGTGACCTTAAAGGCACGGGCGGGATCGATTACTCAGCTACTTTATTAGAAATTCAGATAATGAAGTGCAATGAGTAGCATTAGTAGGAGAGCAAAAAAGCGTCCCAAAGGCCTGAAATTTTCCCTTGTGAAGTCGGTCGTTAGCATAACGGAGAGACAGAACCCGAGCCAGGAGAATACAGGGTGCGCCAAAATTACGGAGACATGCGACTTCGAGATTTATGTTTTTTTTTTTTTTTTTTTTTTGCCTAGCATGAGCAGGTGCAATTCTTTGAAAACAAAAATGCAGTGACGTGCACAGTCCCATTCTGAATCGTCGACATCCATGCAATTTTTTGAAATTCCTTGGTTTGTGTTTATACGGGTCCTCAGAAACATCGAGGAACCATCGACTGTGGCACGCAATGTGGCGAGTAGGACTCGTCAAGCTCATTTTAGAGCGGTTTCTTCAACGAATCCCTAGACATAATGTGTTTTATGCAAGAATCGTCGTGAAGAGTACGTCACCGGAGCTCCTACTTGATGGAAGGCCCAGCAACGATTTTCAAAGTGAAAATAAACTCAGGATAGCAATGGGCTCTGATAAATCCAAAAGCCCCCCTGATTCCTATCTCTCGTGACATCCAGTGAAACCAGCGCGTCAACTACCTGCAAATTCTATCGCACACAATCCTTAGATTGTTCGTGGTCGCCACAGAAACACGCCCTTCTCATCCAGAATGACTGCATTCAGCTCCTTGTCCCCTGTACCATTTGGAGCATCTATTGATAGTGCTCGGGTATACACCAAAACGATGATAATTGTCGCGTGCCAAAAACCCTCAACGTCGAAGTCCAATGATTTAGGGACGGTGTCAGTATCAGTCAACCGCTGCAGCTACCATAGATTTTGGTGGTTGAACAAGGTAAGCATAAACAATTCTACACCACAGTACCAAAACTAGGACAGAAGAAAACAGCATCTGTGAATATCAGTTCAAATTGTTTGCTCATGCGTTGTCTCCGTAATTTTGGCGCACCCTGTATAACGCAAAGAGCACTTCGTATGCGAAAGGGTGCAGAACGCCACGTATGCCGTGTCCGAAAAAGTGGCAGCGCTGGTATAGTACAAGGCAAAACCTTAACGCCCTCGTCTCACCCTTTTGTGTGGCGACTTCTGGGCTGGGGACCCTTCTTTATCACTCTCGGAGGGACTACCTCTTAGCACCTAATCCCACCCGTGGCTTTAAGCTGCTTGAGTCTGGGCCTTGTTTCTATATGATCTGTTTTCGTGAGGGTTTTCGTGACTCCTTCTTTCCCTTCTGGTAGTAATCAATGGAGCAAATGCTCATGTATACTATTTCAGCGAAATCTTCTACTACAAGGAAAACGAAAGGTGCTTCGGATGCAGAGACGACATGCGGTGTTTCGTCGAAAAACTATTCAAGACCCTTATTGGTATATTACAATGACTCCATCAAAAGGACACGAATGACCAACTACTACGTACGACATTTCGCTCCCCAAACATGGTACTTTTTAAATTTGTTATTTTTCTATTCAATGGCCAATCACTGCAGAGAGCAATACAAAGTAATTATCGAGCTTTTAACAGCCGATTGACTTATTGATTATCCAGGAGAGAGAACTTTCGTGGTGAGAATTCCGTACGGTTCCAGCAGTCAGTACCAGCAGGTTTTGAGGGAGCAAAGTTAGAGCACAAAGAGCAAATAGATCAAGAAAATCTTGAGCTTGCCAATTACATTTACACTTTACTCCGTCAGCAGTAATTGAAAGGATTTACACTCGATCCCATCACTTGCCAGATGAACGTTAACGCGCTCTGCTGGAGCTTATGCTGGTTTAAAAGCGATCTGTCAATCCAAGGGAGCGAGTGTAGACGGAACGAATGCGCTTGATTAGTAGTGGCTCTGGGCCTTCCAATATAGATAATGAACACAGAGATACTGTAATAATGTGCATGTGTGAGGACTCCAAGACAACACTACAAAATGCTGAATTGCCTAGCTTCATAGTTGGCAGAAATCCGGAGACCGTTATGCTGCGGAAACGGGTGATTGGTCCAAATATTTTAGCTTGCGCAAGGGATAATTTGCTAATTTAATGTGGTGTATTTTTTGTACTGTACATTTAGAAGACGTCCAAAGTCAGACATCCAACAATGCTGCAGTCGCTTCGATTTTGCTCGTCGGTTTTCAAATCGTCGGTCGATAAATAGCAGGGGTGTAGTTTGAGATGACCGGCAAATGCGCTTTCCTACCAGCGTCCTTATTCCATCACGACATGATGATCGGAATTGTTCGAACTGATTCGTACATACAGTAGCGGTCAAAAGTGTTCGCCGAAACGGTTTTCCGTGCTTCTCTTTTTTTGCCAGAAAAAATCAATGGTGGCCTCGAAAAATTTTCTTTTGAATATCCTGATTCTTTAAGACTTGAGGATATAAAAACACTAGAAAACATAGTATATCAATCTTTGGAGGACGTTGCTCAAGCGAGAAAAAATAATGCACTGAAAATCGTTTCGGCGAACACTTTTGACCGCTACTGTAATTCAGGACGTCATCAGTTAGTGAAGTCATTCAAATGAGATTAGCCCAAAAACTGCCGCAACCGTTCTACTTCAAGTATTCTCAGTGTACTAAAGCGTGGTTGGTTTAGTAACGCAAATTGTACAGATTCTTACAATGCTGAAGGATCTACCAGGATTGGGAATATAATGATTTTTTCATTATTTGTTTCATATTACATTATAGCTTATATATACTTCTTATTTATTTTATATTTTTTCATTAATTAGTTTATTATCAATTAATTCGAGGTATTGTGAATTCGACAAGCACAAAAGCGAGTACATCCTTATCAACTATCACACTGGAGTAAACGGGACGCGGAGAATCGCAGATGACTTCGACAAAGTGTACAAACAAGCCCAGGTGCCGGCCAATCTTCGGTCCAATATTCACAGCGAGATGCTAAGTGAGGGTTGTTTCTTACACATTTGATTCACACAAGTGAAGAATAATTACCAATAACGGACACCGCTA